CCAATTGATTGATTATGCTTTTTCTCCTTTCTCCCATTCTTTTTGTTTCTTATCAGTGAGAGAAGATTTTTGTTTCTTATCAGTGAGAGAAGAAAGTGGAGGATAAAATGGGGAAAGGAAAATACGTCCTAAATGAACAGTGCACGGAGGATTGCCTCTTTTAATAGAAGAGGGATGTTATCCGTAGTAGGTATAGGTTCTTAACCGCGTTTCATAATATTCATGGTTGACTTTGCATGTAACTTTCAAATTGGAAAAAAATTGCAAAATATTTCATGATCCCAAGTCATACATCACCTCAGTAAAATCTTATTTGAGTCAATCACAAATAATACAATTTTTCATAGCATTACATTGTACCTAAAAAGTATAAATTATATATAAAAAAAATTAATTAGAAAATAAATTAAAAGTGTTTTCCGAACAATAAAAATAAAAGAATGGATAGGTTTGAATGTTTCTTTGGTTTCAAAAGATCAAGATTAACGGATAGTCTATCCTCTTCTCACTCGCTCAACACACACGTTACTTCCTACTTGGGCGTGCATACTAGTCCTCGTTCCCTATATACTAGGAACGTATTAGTTTTCTCTAAGGTTGTTGGTTCCTTATCCCTACTACAGTGCAGTGCCTACACCTTAACTTCTTCAACCTTGTAGATTGTAATTCGAACTCCAGACTACCCATGTCGAGATCACCTGTGGAACTGGATTTTTTCCGCATGGAGTGGGAGAGGAACAGGGACTCTTCTGCTGCTCCCATTTCTGAACGCAAACGAAGCTTTCGTGGTATTGTATCCAAGCTCAATCCGGAGATTGTGAAGAGTGCGATTCAACCTTCTACTTTTGGTGCGAATAAATCTCTTCGGCTGGAGACTCACACTTCTTACTCACCATTGATACTTCATGAGCCTAACTCTAGGTATGTATATTGAAAATTCTTTTATTTCTTATGTTTATAGTATATATCAATTTTTTTTTTAATTATCCAGGTCCAGACCGAGTTATGGTCGTAATGACATTGCAGCAACTGAACAAACGACGATCTTTGATTTTGATCTTTTTACCCAAAAGGTCTGTTTCTTAAGTTTTAATACTTCTTTTTTTTTGCCTTCTGCACTATCATTTTCTCAAATATATAATCAAATGATATAGAGAATTTACTGGTGCAGAAACTTGCTGATGAGGAAAAAGTCCCAAAATCTGCTGAATACTTGAACGCCAAATTATCAGTCATTTTGTATGAACAAGATCTTTTGGGAACCCTCGAAAAGGGTTAGTATTATTTTTTGTTAAATTATTTTTTTATGGGAATATGGACTTTGTTTTATCTTTGAAGTCTTTTTTTTTTTTTTAAGGTTTGATCTTTGCCCATTTTTTGATGGATTGTGCAGGTTTTTTACCATATGCTAGGAGAATTTCTGTGAAGAAATTTCTAGAGAAGCGAAAAGAGAGGAGGTTAATCTGGTCCTGCTTTCTACCCTGTTAATTCATATTCTTGGGACTTATCTATAATTGAATTCTTGAAAAAAAAAATATTTTAATTTAACACAATAAAATATCGAATTAAATCTCGGTTTTAATAAATATAAGATTGATTATTTTATTTTATTTTTTGTTACTTGTTCAGGTTGCTCAAACGTATTTCAATATCTGACATTATTTAACTTTCTAGTAAGCGATTTTAGTTCGTTGAATCTTACCATTTCTATAATTGTAATCATGTATACATTCAATTGAGTTCATCGTTTATTTTAGAATGATTCTTTTAAGGGCACGTTTGATATATACTCATATATTAGTTTAATTTTATTTCGTTCGTATTGCTTATTATACCCTAATTAGTAATACGGTTTGCAAATGTTTGCAGGCTGATATCACAATATGACAGCCCCATCAATTAAGCCAAGTAGAATATCGATCAATTTGGAATATTTAGTAGGAAAGGATAAGAAATACGTCTTCGATTTATCCATTTTGGGTACATTTCTTATTTAATTACGTCAAGTTAAAAATTAGTATCGTATTTTGTTGTCCTCTTAAATCTAATATTATCCATCAAACGTTAAATTCATTTTACACAAGCTTAATATGAACATTTATAAGTTTATATTTTGCTTGTGTAGCTAATACATTATTGCTCTATTTCGACTTTGTTATTTGTCCCTCGAACTACTTTCGAAATTTTGTGACAATTTAAAGATATATCTTTTTTAGCATAATTCATTCCCAACCATTTAATTATATAGCAAAACTTGTCCTCCCCTCCATTTCAATTATCATTAAATGATGGACTAGTCATTCTATTTAAATAAACAAAAAAGAAAAAGCAGTAAAAAAATAAAAAAGAAGAAAAATTACAAATAGAGTTTTATAACTTTCCAAAATGCATAAATAAATTTCACTTAAAAAAATAATTAAATACATATTAACACATAAAGAAGAACTTAGAAAAAAATTTCATCTCTCTCAACCCAACTTACCCACCCGCCCTATCAAGCATTTTCCTTTAAAATGTACCCTTTGTATATGTAAATAAAAAGAATTTAGAAGAATCTGCAGAATCTAGTGAGTCCAAAGTATCACGGATTTTGTGAGCAAGATCTTCTGGAAAGACTTAATAGAGGTTAGTATTATCGACTTTGTTGGAAAATATCTTTAGTTGACACGACACGTACTCATAGAAAGCAACAACATCAAATACATTGTGTCTTGAGGTTCATCAATGATCAAACACACTTCAATTTAAGACATTATTTGATTTTATATTAAAGATTTCTTGCTACCAACATAGTCTTTGGTATTTGTTTAGCTTTACATTTGTCACAAGGTATTATTTCTTATACATCTACGAGATAAGCTTGAACACATTGAGTACATCTTATACATGTATCATAAATTACCACTGTGTTTTAAACAGTGTTCTAAAATGAGTGCATATGCTTCACAAATATTCTCAAATTCTCGATTTTTTTTCAAAACGCTTCGCATATGGAGTATACGAGTAATAATACGGTCAATTGATTTCGTTGACCGCATATGCACGCTTAAGCGTCAAAATGAGAATGCATTTGTGTTAAAAAATTGTGTCAAAATTAGCCTAACAAAGTTCAGTTCATTTTTATAACTTTAAAAAAGCAAATGGAGCCTAACAAATATTAAATTAATCCAAATCACCCAAATCCATGAACTATATATAACAATTTGTAAGGTAAAATAAAAAAAAGCATAACAAATTTTTCGTAGAATTGCAAACTATCTATGCCAAGCTCGAGCCTCCTGTCTTTCTCTAGTTTTACTAGTAAGCGATGCTAGTAATGAACAATCTTGGGTTGTTGATGGTTGTGATGATGAAGAGGTTAATAATGATATCTTACTATCTACAAAAAATAATAGAAATTCTCGAGTTGAAAGAAGAGAGCTCGATAAAGATGATTTTACATCGGATGACACGGAAGATAACTTGGATAAAGAAGAGTTTGAATTAGAATCCGATAAAGAGTTAGAAAATATTGATGGTTTTTTAAGTAGATGTTCGTGTCTAATTTAATTGTAGAAATTGATTAACAAATAATTGCAGTATTTATGATATTAAGTATTATGTTTTTGTTAAAAATTTGAAGAATATGTATAAAATTCAAGTCATTGTAGTATTTATGATTTTGCGCAACATTTTTTTTTTAAATTTGAAGAATGTACCATTTTATCTATTTATTAGTTTAAAATATTAAAAATAATATTAAAAATTAGAAAACGCATAATTATACATATGATTTGCATAGGCACGTATGTTCTTGTAATGCTTGATACTCGACCGAAATATATTATCATGCTCTACACATTTTAGAACCTTAGTCTCAAATATCTCCTAGTCTAATCATATTATAGATAAGTTACTCCATTCTTGTAAGTTTGTTTGGTGGTACTTTCAAGTTAGTTGCAATCTTAGACATGAATTTCAAATTTACTTTTATATTTAAAAAATTCAAAATAAATAAATTAATTAAATTTGAAGCACAACTCTTGGTAATGTTTTTTTGTAAACGTTTGCAGGTTGGTGTCACCAACGATCCTATATTGATGATGGCTCCATGAAATAGTGTTTGTAGGTTGTTGTCACCATCAATCTTAATGTTTGCACGACTCTCACGAGAAATAAATGTTCCTATGAATTAAGCAAAGCCAAAGATTGAAAATTTTGAAATATATAGTACGAAATATTGTTGTTATCTGTATAATTGATCTTCTAGTAGGAAAGGATAAGAAACGAGTTTTCTGCCGTGTTTCCTCTTTTCTCTCACTTTTTTTGTTACGTCAAGTTAAAAACTACCATCTCACGTTTTTGTGTTGGGTATGGTATAAGAATAACGTGATTAGCCAAATAATTAGGTTCATGGTTGTGATA